TTTTTTTTTACTTCTCAGGGGCTGAGAAGTATTACTCACAGCTGAGGGGTCCAATGCAGGTTTCAGAACCACGGAGTCCCCTCCAGGGAGCTGGTATAAACTCAGATTCCAGCCCTAGGCATCCATGACCCTGGCTTTTCTTGATATTCGGATGGGTCAACAGTACTCTCTCTCTTAACTTTCTCTGAGTATGTGTGTGGGTAGTGTTTGGCGGAGACATTTATTCATTTAAGATAATTATTTAATTTTATTTATTATTTGAACAAAGAGAGAGAGAAAGTGAAAAATCAAGCTGACCAGAACCAAGACTTGAACCCTGGGTGGGCACATGGGAGTCCAGCATTGGAACCATCACACCACCTGCTAGCCCAAGTGTTGCCCTCATGTAACCATTTAGGCTGGACTTCAGGAAAGGCCTATTGTGTTAAGACTTCCTTTTTCCCTAGTCCTGCCAAACTCTTAAGAGCTCTAGGGGCCAGTGGGTGGTATGATGGTGAAGGCACTGGACTCCCATGTGGCTGACCATGGTTCAGGTCCCAGACCTGGTGGCTTTCTCTCTTCCTATCTCTCTCTTTCTCTCTCTCTCTGGTGAGCATGCATACCCTGTAGCAAATTAGATAATAACAATAAATAAAAATAAATCTTAAAACGGTCTCTAAAGGAGGAGGAAGAATGAGTTGCTGTTGCTCACTTAAAAGTTAAGGTCAACACAAATGGGAATTTGTTTTGTGAAATGCATTTTTATTTTTGGGAAAATGGGAACATTTGCTTCCTTCCTCGTTAATGTCCTGTCCATTCAGCTGATACCTAGGCCCTTCCCTTGGTGCCTGCATGCACATAGCCATTTGGCGGATGCTTTCTATTACTTTAGTGAGCTTCTTCTATAACTGCGTGAAGCTCCTAGAACAGTTACTGTTTTTTCTTAAGTACTTAAAGAAGTAGCTATTTGTTGTTATGTAGTAATTTGGGGCAATTCTCCATCAGGCTTCTACAGATGGGAAAAAATGAAAATACCAAGCTAATTGTAATGAGAATTTCCTAGTTAAAACAAAACAAAGCAAAACACCTTGATGCTCAGATAGTTTAGAATAGCAATTCTTAGTGCTCAAGATAATCTGAGTACTTTGGGGCTTCTAGGGGACCAGACACCCTTGAAATTGTACCTAAAACTTTTGTAATTATCTGTTTGTTTTTTTAAAAAGGATTATTTTATTGAACCTTATTTTATTTACTTATTTAAATTTGACCAGAGAGAGAAAATGAGAAAGCAAGCTCCAGTCTGGGACTCGAACCATGGTAAGCCATGTGAGAGTCCAGCACCCTCAACCACCATACCACCTGCTGGCCCCTGTAATTAACTGTTACTATGCTGTTTTTCTAGGGAAGAAGTCTATAATTTAATGATATTATCAAATGTGACCGAAAAAGATTCAGATCCACTGGTCTAGATTCAGTGATTGAAATAATTGACTATGTTCTTTGAAATAAACATAGGGACCAGCAGTGGCTATGTTGTTGGACTCCCATATGGCCGACTGTGGTTCGAGTTCCAGATCTAGTGGCTTGAAACTCATGATAGGTGTGTGTACTTGTGTGTCTAAGATCCTGGGAGGAAAATGGAGGAGAAGGGATTGTTGCATGGCCATACTCCCAAGGAGGTGATTTGTCACTTTCTCTTTCTCTGCAAGTATTTTTTTTTGCCTAAGGCAAAAAAAAAAAAATCTAAAAATATTTTTTTAAAGAGAGATTTTTGCTGTAGGGCATGTTCACTTGCCAGAAAGACAAAGAGAGACAGAAAGTGAGGAATCAGCCCTCAGGAAGGATGACCATGCCACAGTCCCTTCTCTCAGGTCTTGGGCACACACGCACTCATGTCTGGTGCAAGTTTAAGCCACCAGGTCAGGGACTCGAACAGCATTCAACTACATGGGAGTGCAGAGATGTAACCATTATGCCATCTGCTGGTCCCAAACTCTAAAAGAAATACAAAATTGGATCTAGGGACCAGCAGCTGGTGTCATGGTTAACGTTGCTGGGCTCCCACATTGATTGCAGTTCAGGTTCTAGACTCAGTGGCTCCACAACTGTTAACTTTATATGAAAAAATTTGTTTCTGATGATAGAATTAATGTTAGCTTATTGTAAAAAGGGTAAAGAAACAAAATAACAGAGACCTAAGGAACTTAAAAAGAAAATTTTAATTGGCCATAGTCCCACTATCCCAAATTAATGAGAGCTACTATTCTGATGTTTGTCCATTTTTCCCCCTGTGCACTTGTGTATGTGTTTTCTAAAACAGAATTACAAAAATTGTTCATTTAAGGTGACAAAGACTCTAACACTTTGTTTGAAATAGGAATCCACTATAGTCATAGATTTTCATTCTTTTTGTTTTTGAGAGATTTTTGTTATAGGGCACGTGTGCTTACCAGAGAAAGAGAAATCACTCCCCACGGGGAATGTCCAAGCCGCAATCCCTTTTCCTCCATTCTCCTCTCGGGACTTTGAGCACGCTTCCACATGCACCCAGCATGAGCTTTAAGCCCCTAGGTCTGATATTCAAACCATGATCTAGTACATGGGAGTCCGGCGATATAACCGTTACACCATCTGCTGGTCTCAGTCATAGGTTTTATTATAATACTATGCCTTATAAGAAGTAAAGGGTAGTATAATGGTTCACCTCTAATTTGAAAAAAGAAAAAAAAGAATTTATACCTCCTAAGATTATGGAGCTAGCAATTTAAAAAATTACCAGGGCATATTATCAAGTAAGATATCCCTTTAAAATTGTTCTAGTTTTTTTTTTATTTTTAAAGTGGTTCAAGGCTATTCCTAACATCACAGGTGGTATGGAGGTTAAGGCGGCCATATCCTACATGGTTGACTGCACAGTTCAAGTCCCAGACCCGGTGACTTGAAAATCATATTGGGCATTTGTGTGTTCATGCCCAAAGTCCTAAGAGGAGAATGGAGAAGAAGGAATTACTACATGGCCATATGCTTTGGGAGTGATTTCTCACTTGATGTGTTCTTTCTTTTCTTTTCTTTTTTCTCTTAAGAATAATTAATTTGGGGGACCAGCAATTGGCGTAATGGCTATGTTGCTGGACTCCCATGTAGCCACCTGCGGTTCAAGTCCCAGACCCAGTGACTTTAACTCATGCTGAGTGCGTGACTTTAACTCATGCTGAGTGCATGTGCATGCGTGCCCAAGATCCCAAGAGGAGAATGGAGGAGAAGAGATTGTGGTGTGACCATCCCCCAGGGGTTGATCTCTCACTTTCAGTCTCTGTCTCTCTCAGTCTTTCTGGCGAGTGTACATGCCCTATAGCAAAAACCTCTCCAAAAATAAAAGGAATAATTAATTTTATTTTAATTAATTAATTAATTAATTTTCTAATTTGACCAGAGAGAGATGGGCAAGGGTGTGGTAAGGGGATTAAGAAAGCAACCTGCCACATCCAGGACCTGAACTGCGGTCAACCATGTGGAAGTCCAGCACCTTAACCACCATGCCACCTGCTGGCCTGTAATTCTTTTTTTTTTAATTAAGTGAATCAGGTTTCTCACTGGAATAGAAAATTTTAGATTTCAGAGATTTAAGTGAGAGTTGAATAAAAGCTTGCTTTGTGGTTGGAAAAATAAGAACTGTAGGGGCCTGCAGGTGGCATAGTGGTTAGGGCACTAGACTCCTACATGGCTGACCTGTGGTTCAAGTCCCAGATCTGGAGGTTAAAACTCACATTGGACCCATGTGTTTGTGCCCAAGATCCCGAGAGTAGAAAAGGGATTGCAGTGTGACCTTCCTCCCTGGGGGTTGATTTCTCACTTCCACTTTCTCTCCAGTGAATGGACATGCCCTATAGCCAAAATCTCTTTGAAAAAAAAAAGGAGAGGGGGACTGTAAATGCAGCTTTGTTATTTAAAACTGGAATTTGTATTTAAAATTTTTAAAATTTTTACAACTAAAAAATATTTTTAAACAAGTAGACATAAATAGTTATGTCTTACTGTTTGGTTGTCAAGAGTGCAAATCTCTGCCTTTTCAGCCTAGGTTGTAAGAAAGAGAATGCCAAATGAATCAGAAATAGTGAGCCCAGCAGGTTTTGGAAGTTATTGTCATACAGTGCAGCATATACCAGTGGTATGACTGCCGTGAATTTCTGTTTATGTCTGGTGAATCCAAACAAGCCTGTGAAAAGAGAGTCTGGTTTAGATGATGTGGCCTCTTATCAGCCCTGGAATTTACAAGGGATTCCAGACTCTCTCATTTCCTCAGATCTCTGTATGGGTGAGTGGAGTGGGAAATGGGGGCAGAGGGCGTTAGGCAGATCAGAAAAGGGCAGAGAGCATATTAATTCAAGTTATTTTACAAGTTCTAGGGCCTAACTGGTCTCATGGCCTTATTTTCCTCCTCTTAGGTCTGGCCTCTGGATTCTGGTTCTCCTGACAAATACCAAGCCCAACTGACCAGTTCTTGAATTTCTAAACTATGGCCCAGGTAAGTTACTGGTTTATTTTTTTCTCCTAGGAATACTATCATATTAAGGTCCTGTGAATGTTTCTTTACCCTGAAACTTCCCATCTCTCAGATCCCAAATTCAGTGAGATATGAAGCAATTAGGTTATTAGGGAACGTCATGAAGTATCTTTCTTTGTTTTTCTATGCAAAAATGTGTCTTGACTTTCCTGACAACCCAGTATATATAGTACAATGTCAATCCTATGAACCCTATTTTTTCTAGTCATTGTTCATATATTTATCAAACAAATCATTCAGCATCCTCCTGAATTTGCTTCGTCTTTTCCTAAAAATTGCAATGGAGGGACTAGCAGGTGGCATGGTTGTTAAGGCGCTGGACACTCCCACATAGTCAACCACAGTTTGAGTCCCAAACCTGGTGGCTTGCTTTCTCACTCCCCCCCCCTCTCTATATATATATATGTCTCTTAGACATATGATAAGAGCTTATACTTTGCTAAGCTTTTAGGACTGGGCATAAATTAGAGTTATGCTTACAGAGAGATGAGGGATCTTCTCTGGAAATTCCTAAGAGTTACACACTAGCAACAAAGTGTGGTTTGTAGTTGGATAAAATATGCTGGTCTGGAATGACATCATTCTGATTCTGGATCAGCTTTTTCAGTGTTCTCTAATTTAGGAACAAGGACAGTATATACTTAGGGGTAGAAAGTGATAGCACAGGGGGACCAGCAGGTGGCAAGGTGATTAAGGTGCACCGACAATGGTTCAAGTTCCAGACCTGGTGGCTTGCTTTCTCTCTTTCTCTCTCTCTTTGTTTCTCTCTGGTCAAATTAAAATAAAGAAATGAATAAATAAAATTAAAAATAAGGAATTCTTTAAAAAAAAAAAGAAAAATAGAAAGTGATAGCACAGGGACCAGCAAATGGCATAATGATTACATTGCTGGACTCTCATGTAGTTGAACATGGTTCGAGTCCTAAAGCTGGTGGCTTAAAACCCAAGCCAGGCACGTATGCATGCATATGTTCCTAAAATCCCAAGAGGAGAGTGGAAGAGAAGGGATTACAGCATGGCCATTCCCACTAGTGGGTGATTTCCCACTTTTTGTCTCTCTCTGTCTCTCTAGCAAGCGCACATGCCCTACAGCAAAAATCTTTCTCTCAAAAAAATAAAAAACATAGTCTAAATAAATTTAGCCAAGAGGAGAGCTATAGATTTAAGAGAACTCAAATGCAGCCTTCTCTTGTGCCCTGTATTTATTGCGTGGAAGATCAGATTACAAACAATATAGTACTTTGAAGTAAATAGGTGACCTTTTCCTTAGCAAGCTTTACTGTATATATTTACGATGGAAAATTCTATAAATGTACAGTGGACGGGAACGGATGAACATACAAACAGCAGATTTTCTCCATAACCAAGAACATATTTAAGTAGGAAGTTAAAGATTTACTTGGAAACCCATAACACAGCATATAAGAGCTATTATGGGGACCAGTAGATGGCATAATGGTTACATTACTGGACTCCCACATAGTCGGCCACAGTTGAAGACCTGGACCAGTGGGCTTAAAATTCACCTTGGGCGCATGTGCACGTATACTTAAAATCCTAAGAGAACAATGTAGGAGAAGGGATTGCAGTGTAACCATCCCCTCTGGAGTATCATTTTTCCCTTTCTGTCTCTCTGTCTCTCTGTCTCTCCAGTGAGCACATGTATCCTATAGCAAAAACCTCTCAAAAAAAAAAAAAAAGATAATACAGATACATAAGTAGTCATATAGACTCAGAATAGAGGAGAACCTTAAGGTTTTGTCCAACCAAAAAAATCTAAGAATGATTACATCTTATAAATCTATTACATAGACTTATACAACAAAAAACTTATACAAGTTTTTTGGTTTTTGTTTTTTTGAGAGGTTTTTGCTATAGGGCGCGTGCCCTTGCTAGAAAGACAGAAAGAGACAGACAGAAAAACGAGAAATCATCCCCCCAGGGGATGGCCACACCACAATCCCTTCTCCTCCATTCTTCTCTCGGGATCTTGAGCACGCATGCACACGTGCCCTACAGCAAGTTTAAGTGAGTTTAAGCCACCAGGTCCGGGACTCGAACTGCGGTCGACTACATGGGAGTCCAGTGACATAGCCATTACACTAACTGCTGGTCCCCAACCAGGTTTTTATTTATTTACTTATTTTTTGAGAGGTTTTTGCTATAGGGCACATGCACTCGCCAGAAGGACAGAGACAGAGAAACAGAAAGTGAGAAGTCGCCCCCTAGAGGAATGGCCACGCCGCACACAATTCCTTCTCCATTCTCCTCTTGGGATCTTGGGCACACACGCATATGTGCCCGGTGTGAGTTCAAGCCACCTGGGCCGGTACTCAAACCATAGTCGACTACATGGGAGTCCAGCAATGTAGCCATTACACCATCTGCTGGTCCCATTTGTTTTTTTTTTTTTATTATCATCATAATCTTCTTTCTGTTACACTAGATTACATATAACTTTACATTGACTTCCATTGCTTTTTCAAAAGAAAAG